GTCCTGGAGAAGGCAACAGTCCTACATTTGTACACAGCACTTTGCAGTTTGTAAAGCTCATTTGTTCCCATATTTCATGTGATCCTGTTACAGCCCTGTGAGATGAGGAAATTCAGATACCAGAATGTTGGCCTGAGGTCACGGCTGTTGAGTGGGAGAGCTGGGCTCAGAAGACCCTTGACGGGTCCAGCATTGCTCTCACATCCTTCACTAACCCTCCATCTGGACTTGAATCAGGGGAGCCTCCCCGAGCTGAGAGGGGGAAAGCACGTTCCCAAACATGGCATGGCGTGGGCTGCGGGCATCCTGTAGACGTGAAAGTCAGATAGTGGGAAGCGCAGTACTGAGCGGTCAGTCTTTGTTTCTTCCTAAAAGGTAGTTGTTGAGGGGAAGGTAAGAGAGTGACAAATGAGTCTTCCATTATATCTTAGGTCAGCTCGCCCTGCACTGCCTTCCTTCCCGTGTCCACGCCTCACGTGACGGGTGATATTCCTGCACACCACCCTCACCAGGAGGCTCCTAGCCTGGCTCTGTCTTGCACAAAAGCATCACATAGCACAGGTCGTTACAAGAATGGCCTTGATCTATCCGAATTACCATTCGTAAGTAAGTCATTTACAAGCTTGGACAGTACCATGCACGTGGTGACTTGAGTCATCAGGCAGTATTCTGAGGTTGGGGGATAGTCTGTAGCTGGGCCTCCATTCACTCATCCACCCCATCATTTATCAGCATACACCTATAAGGCTCCAGGGTTGTGCCACGCAGCCTGCTGGCAGCAGGACCTGTGGTTGTAAACAAACCAGACCCAGCGCCCACCAACGTGAAGCCTGGAGTCACAGGCACGGCTGGCTTCCTGTCTTGACAGGTACCCAGCTGGGAAGGAACTGCCATGTGCGGTTATGTAGAGCTCTGGCCATTGGCTCTCCACCTGAGGGTCACTCCTGGAATTGGCCTGAGCTTCCACAGTCCAGTTCTGAGCAGAAAGGTGAGGTCTCAGGAAGGGGGCTGCTGAGCAGCACTTACACCTGGTCAGGACTCTGCAGACAGCACATCTCAGCCGTCGGAGCTCTCCTGGGAAAGTCACCAGGGTGCAGTAATTTAAGCTCTTCCTAAAGAGACTTTCCAAAGCTGTGTGTGTTGTGTGATTTACACTTAACCTTATCCCAGTAGCACCACAGACCTCAATTCTACTGAATTTTATTAGGACTTCTTGTTTAATTTAAAATAAGCAACAGGGCAGTTGGTCTACTGGGCAAAGTCTGTTCTTCAGATAACTAAAAACAGTAGCAATCATTTTATTTCATTCTAATAATGATTGTATTTAAAGAATTTTTAAGTTTTTTTTAAAGTCCTGCTTTACGCATTACATCACAATCCAGTAGAAAGCATACAAGTGAGTGGACTATTACAATCCATTGATTTGGGCAAAAGGAGTTTATGTATTGAAAAGAAAAAAAATATAATACTGTTCTTTCAGAGAGTGTCAAAAGCTTGAAGAATTGAACATTACTATTAAAAATAAAGTAGAAAGAGGAGTAATTTATCTATTTTGCTGTCAGTGATTTTTTTTTTCCTTAATCACCAGAATTGTGATTAATGTCTCAGATCAACACTAGACAAAATATCTCATGATCTTACAGACAGATGAAGAAACTTCAGACTTCTGAAACAAAATTGATTTTCAAGATATAATCTAAAACTTGGCAAAAATTCCCTCCTTAGTTTATCGTTGCTGCTAGCATTTCTGTAAGTCAGAAGTGTTCCAGTAAAGTGAAATGGTGTCACTTACGTGATTTGATGAAAAGCAGCTCAGGAAGAGAGCATCAGTTTGCCTTGGCTCTCCTGAGCTCTGACCTGGGGCAGCTCAGCCCGCTTCCTGGGCCTAGGATGGTCCATTCAGGCCGCTACCGTGTTTACAGTGCTCGACCTGCCAGATGAGAAGATCTCTTTTGAACCTTCTTTCCAAAGTGCAGAGAACCAGATCCCTTGCAGCTGAGCCCACAGAGAGAAGCTAGGAAATGTCTCTAATTTCTTTTTCTTTTGAGCCAACTTGTACAACCACCAGCTTCTTTGCCAGGCAAGGCTAGAATACCCTGAGAATCCTCCTCCTAAGGCCAGCAGGTCCCCAAAGCATTACTGACAAGCTGCAGGTCCTTCCCTCCTGCCTAGAAAGGCCTGCTGGGTCTGCTGGCCAGACGGAGAGGTCTGTGCCCTCAGGGGATGCTCTGCCCACACTGCTCGCCCTAAGAGCTCTCTCACTTTTCTGTAACCGTCCAAGTTCTGGTGGGCAAGGAGACTGTCTCGGGATTCCTGGTAGGCATCCTCCTTTGCTTAGGATTCATATTGTGTACTGCATTGCTCCCATGCCAAATCCCCCAAATTCTGATTTTTAGGCACAGACTACATGTGAAGTTCATTTCTTGACTTCTGATGTCTGACAACTCTGCTTGTGAGTGTTCAGACCTGTAATTGATTTAGTTTTATTAAAGTATATGGCCCTCGGTCTTTTTCCTGCTTCCCCCACTTCATACAAGACACGTGGGCTCTCCATCAGTGACAGCTCATCCCATCTCAGCCTGTCCAGGATGGCTCCCCACCTCCACCTGTGCACCAATCTCATGGGTATTTGTCTTATGCAATCATTCAACTGAAGGCAAATACATTGAAGAAATGATTGTCCTTAAAATACGGACTGTGAGTCAGCTTGCTCTGTTTCTTTAAGCTGAAGATTTCTGATGTTCCCATTCGGTACTCAGTAAGCACCTACTGTATGTGAGGCCCTAGGAGTACATCACGCAACAAGACAGACGAGGCCCCTGCCCTCCTGGAGCTTGCATTCTCTAGTACATGGGTGTCAGGCCCAGCTCATTCAAAGGCCGTCTTCAGTGCCACCTCCCTCGCGAAGCCCTCCATGGTCACTCCACCTGGTTCCATTTCTCTCAGCCTCTGACAGGGTTTAGACTCGCTTGTAGCGTGTGTCCCTTCTTGCCTGTATGATAGTTGTGTGATCCCAGAAAACTATGTGGTGAACCTCATGAGGGAGGAAGCGGGTTGTATTCATCTCTGTCCAGTGGCAAGTACATTGCATGGCTCTGAGTCCAGCACATTTAATGCCTGTGAAATAGGTCACCATGTCTTGCTAATGTTAGTACTTAAAAAAAAACCTTTAGTTGAATAAATTATCATCTAGCATGTGAATTATCCAAACCCTTCTTTTCCTGTGGTCTTTCCTGTTGTCACTAAGCGCTCCTGAGATGAAGGACCTTGTCTCCTTCGTTTGCCCTTTGTCAGCACCTGAGAAAGTCCCTCAAAAGTACTTTGTGAATATCCGCTTAATGGTATCATTCTCCCCTACCTCGTCCAGGTGGTGCCCGAGGAAGATGAGACCGATGTGGAAATGTCTTATTAACTCATTTTAAAATGAATAAAATAAAAACATGTGTGATGTATATGTACACACGCAGATATCTGTCTGCATAGAGGGGAAAGGTCATTACGCTTCAATAAAATGCTACTTTGATTAGTTTTGAACCAAAGCCGGCCTCTGAGAAAAGCTCGGTTTTTAAGAATGAGAGATGCTGCTCGAAACGCCTCATCTGTGTATGGAGGATTACACCCTCTGCCGTGCGAGGCTGGGCCGGGGGGCAGGGGGCCGGCAATTAGACGGGGATCCGCTGTCTAGTCCCGGCGTCTGGAGCTCCAGTGGGAAACGGCTGCTGACTCTCACTGTAATCACAGGATTGGGAGGAATTAACTCCCTTACTTCTTAACTGCCTCCCATAAAGGCCTGTAGGCCACAGGGATAAATACAACTAATACAGGTGTCTGTGGGAAAGAGTCTTCCCAGTGACTTATTTTCATTTATTAAGACTTCAAAAGGCTTCAGAAAACAACGAGCGTAGCGAATGGTCGTCTTCCTCATTCCATTTCCCAGAGTAAAGCATTTGTTCCATTTCACTGTGGTCGCAGCCCGGGTTCGAGCATCAGGAGAGGGCCAGTGCCCAAGGTCCCTGGTTTTCAGTGTTTTATAGTAGCGCCTCGTACAGAACTGCATGGGTCTGCTGAGTGCCAGCTGGTACCTGAGCTGCTTTATATCTTCTTGTCTCCTGAAAAATCATCAGCTCAGGGTTGACGGTATTTAATTTTTGAGATCCAATGAGAGGATTCATTTGGACATAGTTTCTGTGCAGCATTTTGGTTATTTGAGGAAGAACTCCTCCTCTTCACATAGTTCTTCTAAAAATGTTTTGTTAATTGTTGCTGGTATTTACTCCAACATGTGAAGTAGCTTTGCTGAGGCTGAGAGCAGAGACGCACACGCCTGTGTGGCTCCCAGCTCGGGCTGTGAGCAGGGGCCGTGGCTGGTGTCCCAGTGCACCCGTCAGCATTGCCACAGCCGCTGTCCCCTCAGCACTGAACTTCCCAGAAGGCTGCCATTTGTCAGAGCCTGACCAGGTCTAATGTATACTGACTCACACTCACACACACAAATATGTTCACTTAATTGAGTCTTACTTTTTTTCACTGGGAGTGAGTCAGACGACGAATACATTTATCCAACAGGATTTGTTTTTAATTTCCTTTGAGTTCTTCTTTAAACCATTCTTTCTTGGTTTTTGTTTATCAGGAAAATGGGGGGAAATAAACATTCTGTCCTCCAATGTCTGTGACATTTTAAGTGATAATGACATTTTAAATCTGAAAATTATACTGGATTTGGAGAGTTGGGGTTTCGTGGAGGGGGCAGTACATCTTGAGAAAAATCGTCTCTAGCGCAACTCAAGTTGGGTAAACATTTGAAAAGCGTGTGCGTGAGGGATGGGCCTGCTGTGGGGCGTTCCACCCTGTAGGCTCACCAGCGGGCGCAGCTTGCAGCAGCCCAGCCGAGCTCCGCGCGCACTGGGCGCTGCTGGGGCTTGTTGGCAAATGGCTCCACCTGGCCGCTGCGAGGACTGCGGGCTGCTCCGTCACTCTTGCTGTCTCTCTCGTCCCTCCAGACTCACTCTCCGTCTCCAGTAACGATGCCAGCCCGCCTGCCTCTGTGGCCTCCCTTCAACCCCACATGATGGGGGCTCAGAGCTCCCCGGGCCCCAAGCGCCCGGGCAACACGCTGCGCAAGTGGCTGACGAGCCCGGTGCGGCGGCTGAGCAGCGGCAAGGCCGACGGGCACGTGAAGAAGCTGGCGCACAAGCACAAGAAGAGCAGGGAGGTCCGCAAGAGCGCCGACGCCGGCTCGCAGAAGGACTCGGACGACAGCGCGGCCACCCCGCAGGACGAGACCGTCGAAGAGGTCAGAGCCGCGCTCCGCCTTAGCGGGCCACACCCTGGAAGCCACCCCAGAACCCTCTAGCATGTTCTCCTCCGGGTGTAGCCTAGTCGTTGGTCTGTGACTGCTCTCATTCGGTCCTGTGTGCGGATCACTAGACTCAGTGGGGACAAGCTCTGGGAGGAGCTGCTCCCAGGTTAATAGGGTCAGAACCTCCATGTGGCTTCTGTTAGAAATCAGAGGACCGTGAGCTTCCTTCCCGAGGCCTGGGCGCCCGGGCCGACTGTGGAGCAAGTGGGTGCTGAGCTGCCTCAGCCCTTCTCCTCGTCATTCCACCAGGGCCAAGGCCAGAGGTGCCCGTCAGTGCTGCCGCCGATTTCAGCAGCCCCTGAGGTTGGCACGGAACCCTGGTGGCAGCACATTGCAGGGGAAGCACCAGTTCCAGACGTGGCCAGACTAGAGAAGTGTTTGCACCCTCCAGTTATTTCTCTGCCCTCCTCACAGTCACCCTTACCTCTGTCCTGAATAGAAAATACCCAGTTAATTTACTTTGCTCACCCAGTAGTAGACACTGCATTATTCCCCTGACACCAAAGATAAATGTATGTCGGTCAGGCAGCAATTTTTTTCATTTCCTCTTGTTGGGGACGAGGGCTTTAAGTTATACTTTAAACAAAATTCTTTCGTGATCCCCAGTGGGGCCTAAAGCACTGGTGGTGTCAGGGAGGGGCCCGCAGAGTTTTTAACTAGACCCACCCAAATCTCTCAGAGACTCGAAAAGAAAAGAGCAGGCAGAGAGGAAGGACAAGCTCTGTCACTTAATTTATTTCACAGATACGGGTGTTCTGCTGCTTTTCTCCTGGGTTTGCCTTGCCGGGGTGTTGCAGGAGTGTGTGGTTCATTATGCTCTCAACTTTATTCTAAATCTGTGTCCTCTTAGTAGAAATAAAACCAAAATCTTTTCTAAAAGTAAGAACAGAGGAATATTAATGGGATAATTCAGATTCTTAAAGTGCACCTTGGATTGCATTTTTCTTCATGCCATTATTATTTCCATGAATTTTATTCTAGCAAGATACCAAAAGTGAATGAAAGTGGCAGAGGACCTGAGCCGCCATGAGAGTTACGGTTCAGATTTTTGAACATTTATTTTTTCCTTCTAGAAGATGAGTTGTGTTCAGAGCCTAACGGATACCATTGGCAGTTCCTTCAAAAAACACACTCCGCAGCCCTTCTCTCGTCCAAGTTGGCAGGCAGGGTGGTTGGGTTGCAGGAAGGAACGAGAAATTACCGTCAGGGTTGGAAAGAGACTGTTGCTGCGATCTGCCGTCTGAGGTTCTGTCCAGGCTGTATTTTTCCAGTTAACCGCTTAGGGCTCGTCTCTGGGAACCGACGTGGACAGTCGCGACCTAGAGTATGACGAGCGACTGCTGGTTCCGTTTCAGAGGGGCCGGAACGAGGGCCTGAGCAGCGGCACGCTCTCCAAGTCCTCGTCCTCGGGCATGCAGAGCTGTGGAGAGGAAGAAGGGGAGGAGGGCGCCGACGCCGTGCCCCTGCCGCCGCCCATGGCCATCCAGCAGCACAGCCTGCTCCAGCCGGACTCGCAGGACGACAAGGTAGGGGCTGTGCACGGGCACCTGGGAAACGTGCTGCTTTTCTAGGCAGATTCCGCCGGCTTTCACCCCAGAAACTTTGTGGATGACAAAGCCCGGTTAGACTAAGTAGTAGGCCAACGTGCAGTTTCTCACACACATGCACTTGTATAAATATGTTCAGTGCATTTTTAACGGTGCTTCAGCAATTGCCACTTTTAAAGAAAGGTTCATTTTTTTTTACTGTCCTGACGGGTCCCTGAGAGAGCAGTCAGAGGAGTCACGGGCCAGCTGCGTGACCGCCTCCCCGTTGAGCATTAGGCCATCTTGTTCTCTCTGTTAGGTGTTTTTGCACAGGGGTGTTGTGTTCACAGGAGATTGTGCTGCTGTCCAATTCCTTTTTCCAACAAGCCACAAATCAGGATCACACTGGAGTGTGGGGGTAGATATCCCAAGTTCAGAGCCATGAAACGCCTCCTTGGATACATGCGGAGGCTTCAAGCCAAGTCCATCTGTTTTTGTGGGTTTTTTTGAGTTCCTACATAATCTAGAATTATTTTATATATCCCAGTTGTAGAACCCAAAATATCAGAAAGGAAACCTGATGACTGGCTTGCAGGTCCTCTCGCATCCTGGCCCGTTGTGCTCCTCCAAATTGTCAGGTGTTGAAATCTGTGCTATGATGTCATGACGTGATTTTTTAAAAATTTTTTATTTTTGGCAATAGCTAAGTTTTAGGAATAAAGCATGTTTTCATCAGTTTTCCCCATTCTTCCCCTTTTTCCTCCCCTTACTCCCTCAATGCTATCACGACCACTTGCTGAATCACCTGCTTTTTGACGGTGATGGACAGTTGCCAAGGCAGGTCACACATGAGTCTTCACCTAAGGCCCCTTCTCTGCAGAACTGACCTCCTCCACCCCTTGTGGCGCTCAGCACAGTCAGGGAGCTGCAGGCCTTGACTGGAGAATGTAGCTTGGTTTGGAGTCTGGAGTTTGGGGCGTGTGAGGTCCATACTCCGCACTGTTGGGGTGGGTGGGACCTGAGATGAGAGAGGACCTCACCCCCCCCACACACTGCACAGAGCGGATTCATCAGGAAATGGGACTGTGTCATTTCTCTAACAATTCCTAAGCTGTTTTGTATATTCTAAGCTATACCATTCTTAAAAGCAGAAAGCTGAAATTTCTTAAATCTGGCTGATTAGCCAAAAGTGAAGTGCTAGGCCTGGTTATTTACCAAATAAGAGTATTTTCTCCACTTAAACAGTGGATTACACACTATTCTTCTGTTTGCTAAAATCGTTTATTGATTATTGGGTTACCTTGTTGGGTATTATCAGCAGCAATTCTTCACTTACAGAAATCTATAGTGATGTTCCCTGAGAGTATATTATCTTGTGACTAATATTTTGTTTTGTTCTGTTTTCTCTTTTTGTAAACTTTCATGGCAGCATTATGTTGATTTGTGTTCTGTGTCTGTTTTCGCTCAGTTTCCTTACCTCTCCATTTGAATTTTTTTCCTTGTTTTCTTCACCTCATATTCCAGATTTCATTAGACCAAGCCAACATTTGTTTTGCAAAGCACATACCCGAATCCACACATGCAAAAGCCTCGTTGTAAATGTACAAACCCGTATCTGTCCGCTGTGAGAAGTGCATTGTTAGGACAGCAGCTGTGTGTCGCATGCGTCTCCGCTGTCCTTAATATGAAGCGAGGCTCATATTACGCCCCCTCCTAGTTTCCAGTCAGCAAGCGGCGCAAGTAATCTGCAAACACACTGTGTTTGCTAATTACTGAACTCAAACGCAGTAGCCCTTCCCCTAGATCCCTTATGTCACCCCGTGCACCCTGGTTCTGGCCGTAAACGGCATCTGATAGCTTGTGAGGCCCAGCTCTTCTGTACTCTGCACTAATCATTGGGGAAGTGGATGGCACAGGAAATGGTGAGCTCGTCCCCCCTCCGCCCTGTCTGGTCAGCGCACCCTGGTTCCTTTTCTTTCTCATTTCCTCCTTTTAACCCCATAAGCACAGTAAAGCCATTTTTAGTATCTTGTTTTGTTTCCTGATTATTTAAGAATTCACTCATTAGACCTTAAGCCTTTCATTCTTCCATTGATCAGATTCTATATTTTTTCTCCTTCGCCAGTAGCCTACCCAGCAGTTGCAAAAGTTACAGTTAGAGTTTCCCCTCCCCAGTCACCTCTCTGAAAAACGTTATGATGTTACATGACTGCGGGTTAAAAACAGACATTGTCTGCTTTCCACATGTGTCCCAGACAGGTTTTATTTAACATTTCATGTCAGAATATTGTAAATTTAAAAGGATGACTTTAAATAAATGCAAACAAAGACAAACTTGTGGTCTTTTTGTCTGGAATTACTTTTAAATAGAGCTTGAGCTTGCAGGAGAATTTACTGTCTGTCCAGTGACTAACATAAGGCATTCCCCTCCCCCCCTTTCTTTTCTTAACTTCTTCCATAGGCCTCTTCTCGGTTATTAGTCCGCCCCACCAGCTCCGAAACGCCGAGTGCAGCCGAGCTTGTCAGTGCAATTGAGGAACTCGTGAAAAGCAAGATGGTAAGGCTTCCCAGAGAAAGCCTGAGGTTTGGAAGCTGCTCCGAGGTGCTGCCCCAGGTGCACGTGCCCTCGTCCATGTATTGCTCTGGGCTGCAGAATGTGTCTGTGGCTTCCTGCTCAGTTGGGAGTTCCCAAGACCACTCTCACTTCTGACCACCTGCCAGTGTAGGGGTCCCCAAGACCATCCTCAGGTTCAATAATTCACTTGGAGGACTCTCAGAAAAGCCACAGTTGCGGTTTATTACCGTGAAAGGGCACAGATTAGAATCAGCCAGGACAGAGGTGTAGGGCAGAGTCCAGGAAGATGCGAGGTTCAAGCTGCCTGTTGTCCTCTCCCAGTGAAGTGAACGTGGACACCGCTAACTTTTCCTGGCAACAGTGTATGACAGTATGTACAGAGTATTGCCAACCAGGGGCACTTACCCGTGCATTGGTACTGAGGCATTTTATTTGGGCTCAGTCACATACATAAGATTGTCCGCTTGCATGGTTTACCTTTGTCCCCTACCCACCCCCCAAGAGATCAAGATAGCACGTGGCTCAGAGCCCCCACCAGAAGTTACATTGTTAGCATAGCCAGCCTTGGCCCAAAGCCCCCAGGTAAACAGAGACAGTCTTATCAGACGGGACATTCCATGGGCCAAGAGCTAAGGTTAATCCTTGTTTTCACCCACACTGTCTTAACGCAGGCACTCTCATAACCTGTGTGGTTAGTCCCAGTCTTATCTGAAGGTGTGTCCAGGGTCGGGGGTTACTCAGTTTGGCTGACACTTTCCTTTTGCTCTCTTTGAGATCTTTCAGTTGGAGTCACAGTGTGTAAGAGAGAAGGGTTGTGATTGTTATGTGAGGGCTTTATTTCTTATGACCTGTATTTTCCATCAATCAGCATGGATTCGTTTATAAAAGCCCCAAATCAGGTGTTGATTATTTGAAGTTAGACAGATGTGCATTGCTTCTAACTGATTCAATAAATTAATTTCTGTGTTTCTTCAGTTTTCCTAACTATGAAATGGAAAAACCATTAATGGCAACAACTTTTGAGACTAGAATATTGTACCAGCCCTGTAAAGTTATTTAACTTCTTTTAAGTGTCACTTCTCCCAAAATAAAAGCCCTCAGCTTCTCCCACCAATCCATTCTGCAGGTAACTACTATGAACAGTTTGATATGTTTCTCTCGTGGTACAAACATATATGGGAAGGTGTGTGTGCATCCTTTTTCTTTCAAAATGGATCCATTCTGTTTTTAAGATTCTAAGATTTAATGTATCTTAAAGATCTTCTCAGGGCAGTACATACAGGTTTATCTCAGCCCTTTAGTAGCTGTATAATATTCTGTTGTATGGATACAGAGATAGTACCACCAAGGGCTTTTTCTAATCTAGGTACTTTTCTAAGTGTGAAGCATGTTTTAATTTAAATACTCCCACAGTAGCCCTTTGAGGTAGGCACACGTGGTTGTTATCCCATGTTACCGAGGCATGAAACTGAGGCACACAGAATATTGAAAAATTTGGCGAGCTAGTAAGGGGCAGAGACATGATTATACTATATTTAAGTACATTTCATACTAATATATACTAAGTTTTTTTCTGTTTTTCACTGTATAAGCATTCACAGTTGTTGTGTGTGATTATATCTATAGAGTAGATCTCTAGCACTGCAATTGCTAGATCGAAGGGTATATACGTCTTTAAAGTTAGAAACTTATTGTCCTTCAGTCTGGTATTAACTAAGTACCATATATATCTTTCCAATTTCTTCTCCCACTCCTAACCAGCTTCTAATGAAACTGGTTAACTTGGACAGGTGGGAATTGTACCATGAGAAATTCAGACCCGCATTGCCCTGCCATGCCTGGATTCCCCCCGGCAGTCGTGCTGTGTTCTGAAAACGTTGCAGTGGGCGTCAAGGGTAGGCTGGAAGTTAGGAAGTTAGTCAAGGAATCTGCTAGGAGTTGGCAGATAACTCAAGGACTAGGCCCCACCGGTCAGGAATTGGGAACCATGTCAGTAGGAATTGAGCTAAACCACATCCTGGTTGTCTTCTTGGGAGACAAGTTGATTAGAGTTTCAAGCATCCTTAAACATTTTAAAAACAGCCATTCATGCACATCAATTATATGACCATGAAAATCATTCTTGTCTGTGAACTGAAGGAGTTTTCCCGAGGAATGCTCTAAGGCCACACTTTGTCAGCGTGCTAGTCATTATTCTGCACATATTTAAACTGCATCCCGTTTTAAGTGGTCTGAGATTCATAAGAATTAATTTAGATGGACTTCCAAATGGAGAGGGGTTCTGTGGCTTGTCTCTTTCCGCCCTCACTGGTTTATTCCCTCTTTTCAGCTCTACTCACTTATGTGTCTTCTGAGGTTAACAGACCTAAAGTTGTTGGCGTGTGATAAGGGCACAGGCTTTGGAGGCAGGAAGGCCTGGGTTCAGACTCTCCGACCTACTGCCGCAGCCCCTCGGAGCCTGTCTCCAGCTGGAAACGGGATCGGGAATGGAGTGCGGTCGGTTAAGCTCCTGACAAGGTCCCGTCGCCTGGGCATTGACTGCTGCCCCTTTTCCCTGTTGGACAGCCCCGCTTACGCTTTCTATGACGAACTCATCCTTTCTTCTTCCCCGGGATGTAATCTAGATTCTGTCTCTTTTTCTGGTCCAAGAGAATCATAACCCTGTATTGATGTCCTGTCACTAATCCTCTCATGGCTCACAGGAACCACTTTTTGTTGATAAAAACTCTCGAATCGTTTTTATATTCTTCACCCTATCCTGTGACTCTGCGCTGCTCCTGCCCTTCCAACCACGTGCTGCAGACCCTCAGTCACCGTGTGCGTTTTCTCGTGGGTGATCTCAGGCTGGAGCGTCTTCACAGTAGGATTCAGGCACTGAACGGTTTGGCATCAGAAGCTGTGTGTTAATCCATTGGACTGGGGGGGGTGCTCAGCTGTTAGAGACGTATTCAAGGAACTGAACCTCCTGACCCCAAACCTGACGATTCAGTCTGAAAAGTCAGAACCACCCAGAAAACTTCCCTGGGTTTGTTCCTTTCTCCACACTCCCCATCCAAGTAATTGAAAGGCGGTGTGTCTTTCCTAAAGGTCAGCAATACGGCGATAGCAGTAGACAGCCACGCGACTGAACTTGACTTTGGGGTTTTCGTCTCACTAACCTAAATGTAAAGGGAGGTACAAGAAAGAATGGAAACTAAGAAAGTCAACAAGGTAGCAGCGGAAGAACAAAAGAAAGCAGAAGGAATGAGCATACACATAAAACAGAGGCTACTCACTGGAGAACAGAACAATAGAGTAATAACTAAAACCAAAAAGTGTGTTCTTTCAGAAAATAAAGATATCAGGTAACCTTCTGAAGAAAATAGGAAGAAAGCACAGATTCACAAAGTAAATTATAGGGGAGCGACAGGCTGAGGAAACTGAGGCAGTCATGACATTATTTCGTTCAACTCTTTGAAAGTAAATTTGAAAACCTGGCTGAAATGGGCAGTTGTTAAGAAGCTGTAATCTACCAAAACTAACCTCAGAAAAGAGAATAGCTACGCAGACCTGTCTTCATCTAAGAAACAGAGAAAGTTGACAGGAACCTACCTGTCCAGACAATGCCAGGTCATTTATCTGAGTCTGTGGGGCCCGGTCATTGCGGGCCCGAGGCAGCCTTCTCCTCGCACACTGCGGCGTAAGAGGCCAGCGGGCACGTGGAGGGAGTGGGCAGCGTGAATGTGACCACCCCGTCGGGGGTCTGCACCCAGGTCTCTCTCTGAGTGCCCACCCAGGCCTGGACCAGCCACACCTGAGGACAGGTAGCCAGAGAAAACCTGTTGGCTCCCTGTCTTGGTCCAGACAGCCTTGCCACCCACCCACCCGCTGCAGAAGACGGGCCTCGTGGACATCGCTGAAGCCCAGGACGACCTCCTCGCTCGCTCCTGTGCGAGAGGGCACATCTGGGGCATTTCTCGTCTTTCTTCCTCACCATCCAAGTGGACAGGGTTAACCTAACGAGCTTCAGCTGTCCGAAGTCTAGACAGGAGACAGAGCTCCCTCCCCCTCACCCCAGACTCGCTTCCTGCCAGAGACGTCCAGAACCACGAGCACGGCCAGGCTCCGCTGCTTGCTGCACGACGCTTGCTTCCAGCAAAGGTCAATCGCTATTTATTTAAAATGAGAGTGCGATTTTCTCATTAAACCGGGTTCCTCCACTGTTTGTCGCAAGTCAGAGCAGCGGTTGGTGTGTTTCCACGGCTCCGTGGATGTGTGAACAAGATTGCACAGATGGACTCTGTGTCTTCCAAGCTGTGCATAGTGATGGAGTCAGCGCCAGGCTGTTCTCAAGGGGAGAAAACAGGACAAGCATTAGAGGTTTTCATTTGATAGGAAATGTGTTCTTGCAGTTTGTATTGAGCCACATTTTCCCAGTTCAGTCTCTAAATACTTCCTGGTCATCTCTGTATGTCCAGCTGGCCTGCTTTGGAAATTTTAAAAACTATAACCTATACTTTGTGAATTCAGGCTAAGAAAGAAAATATGTGCCAATTAGAAAGTAATCGATTGCAAATCATTGTCACACTAAACCGGGGAGAGAAGCCACCAATATTTAACTCAGATTTAATCACCCACAAAGCTTTGCTCGAGATTCTACAGTAGGTACAACAGCAAAAACAATCACCTGCAGAAACTAAAAACTAGGGGGCCGGGGGTTCGATAAACAGCTGAGGCCAGCATGACAGCTGCTTCCTCCAGAAGAGACAGAAAGGAAGGTACAAGTGCCCCAAAGATGGACATCATTTTTAGCTGAGTGATCTGTATGCACCGAAGTAAGAGTCCAGGCTTTATAGATAAGCAAGAAACAAACCAAGTTTGTCTAAAATACGAATGGCTGATGCTGCTCCCGTAGCCCACCGACACGGCACATGGGTGGGTGTGTCCCGGGCAAGCCGGCCTGATCGAGGCAATTCCACACATTTCTGGAACAATCACACTTTCATTCGGCAGGAATATAACGGAAAGAAAATCGCGGGATTTGAAATGGTGCAGTCCTTTGATGTAAACACGTTGTATATTTTTCTAATTATTTGTAATGGGGAATAGACTATGTCAGTATATGTAAATTTACTATTTTTTTCATTCTAACTTTCCTCTTTGGTCGAGCTTTTCCTACTCAATTTTTTAAAAAATGTTGGGAGGGTTATTAAATACTGCATAATTTCACAAACATAGATTTTCTAATTTTGCGATAGGTCTTCTGTATCTCCCGCGCATGAGATTTCTTACCCTGATGTCAGCTCTGGTGACTGAGGCAGAAACGTGACTGGTGATGTCATTTCTTTCAGGCACTGGAGGATCGTCCCAGCTCCCTCCTAGTTGACCAGGGAGACAGTAGCAGCCCCTCCTTCAACCCGTCAGACAATTCCCTTCTCTCCTCGTCCTCGCCGATCGATGAGATGGAAGAGAGGAAGTCCAGCTCCCTAAAGAGGCGGCAGTAAGACACAAATGTTTTCATTGTCGTTTGGATGGCTTTCCTCCTATCATTGTCACCTCCAGAACTGTGGCTGGGATTCTTGTCTGACTCAGCTCAGCGAGGAGATCCAGGGTCTCTGAGTAATTGTACATGTGCTTGAAAAGCACCCCGGCCTCCGCGGGGCTCAGTCGGCCGGTGCTGCAGTCTTTATTGCTTCATTTATATATTTATTCTTAAATAAAAATAATTCGAGACCAGAATATCTCCTGTCACCCCAGGTGAGGAACTTCTATACTTTCTATTGTATACACAGTTGTGAAGGAAAAAGAAAGCAACATAAATACAGTCCCCAAAACTGTAATATTTTCCAAATATACATTAGTGGTAGGGTTTCTCAGTTCTAGTAAAGCATCTTACAGTGAAAGAAACTAAAAAAGAGTCCTGATGAATATTAGGTTTAAACTTGCCTTTGGAGAAGAGGAAAACTGGTAAGCGGCATGGGGGCTGTGTCCCTGCACCTAGAATGATGGTGGCACATAGGAGGCGCTTAGTCGGTGTTGGGTGGTTGAATGAATGAATGAACAAATGAAGGAATGACTTCAGGCCAACTAAGGATGTGCCCTGCTGATTAAGTAATTGTCTCCAGTTATGAGTGGCCTTAAGTGGTTACTTAACCTTACACAGAGAAACACTTCTGTGTTAAGTTTTTTTCTTGTATGCCCAAGGAAGCTTACAGTGATTAATCATTACAAACAAGAACAAACGCCTGCTTCCCACAGTGTGACACTGTTATAACAACCTATGTCTGTGCTTCTCTTGGTTGTTCATACATGTGGTCAGGGTCCGGTGGCCAGAGTTCACCCTGGATGCAAAGGGTCTTGTGACCTCCCACTGTCAGGGGCCACCCACGTGAACCTGTCAGAATTGGGACACTCAGGATTGGAGACTCGGTTGTGCTGGTCTGATATGTTTCTGACAGTCCTGGGTTGTCTGCCCTGACAAAAGCAAATGTGTGAAAGAATTCCTGTAGAAATGAAGAGTGGATTGTAAACACTTGTCCTCTCTTTCTAGCTATGTTTTGCAAGAATTAGTGGAGACAGAACGTGACTATGTGCGCGACCTCGGCTATGTGGTGGAGGTATGTTTCCAGAGATTTGATTACCTGTATCGGCCCCCAGAGTCTACAAAGCAGTGTCATGTTACAGTTTAACACCAACACCTTCTCAAAAGCTTTAAAGACATTTGTGACCAAAAAAAAGTATTTCTGAAAAATAAAGTTTAGCCTATTATCTTAATCTGTATTCACTTTTAAAGGCCTCTTTTTGCCTAATGTACCTGATGTAATCATTTTTTAATAATTAAGTTTTAGCCCGGCCGGGCGTGGCTCAGCGGTTGAGCGTCGACCTAGGATCCAGGCGATCGGGGTTCGATTCCCGGTCGGGGCACATGCCCGGGTTGCGGGCTCGATCAATGACTCTCTCATCATTGATGTTTCTATCTCTCTCTCTCCCTCTCCTTTCCTCTCTCTGAAATCAATAAAGACCTATTTAAAAATAATAATAATTAAGTTTTAAAATTATGATATCTAACCAGTGTATTTATTATATGGGAGTCTTGCCTTTAATTATTTTACAAGCGTGGGTATCACCACAGAAATGAGAACGTCACTAGTTGACAAAGCCAATGTGTCCAACTATGGATTCAGTTCCATCCTGAATCGATCATTCAGAGAATGGTCGGTGGATACACCTGACCTTTTGCTTATAGTTTTCACAGAACAAATATCTCACCATTTTCATTGCCAAGAAGTTGCTGTGTCCTATGTAACCATCACAAAACCACTGCCTTTCATACTGGATCCAGGACCACCTACAGGCTTTTCCCTGCCTTTAAGTTCAGGCATGATCATCTTCATAAACTCAGCTCATCAAAAAGCTATTTTTATAGTATAAAATCTTACCACTTATTCTTTCAGCTTTGCAAATATGTGTGGGACAATGCTTTTGGAGTCTACGTTCTATTAAAAGTCACGGCTAATAAGTTAATTGTGTAATTGAAAGAAGTTACCATACTTGCTTTGTCTACAGTCATCATTAACAGCAAAATAAGTCACTTGAATACTTAAGAGGTTCTAGTATAGGCTGAATTCTATGTGCGCTAAATAGAGTTTTAACCACATTTTAGCAACATGTTAGTCAGCCATTGTTAAAATCAGTTTATGAAAAGAATATTGTTAAATCCTGATTTAACAAATTATGTAAATAATCCAAAAAGAAAAGAAAATCTGTTTACATGAGAAATACTGAGAACAGAGGAAATATTTCTGGCCAAATATTTAATATTTATGATAAGATTTGTTTTATGGAACCACCTACATTTATTTAAACTTCTTCAGTTCCTTGGAAGAACTGTGATTATGCATGCCAGACAGGTCAGTGAGAGAAAATCATGACACTGAATTCAACAGTGTCCATTTTATTTAAATGTACACACTGATCCTTGAACAACATGGGTTTGAACTGCAGGGGTCCACTTATATGTGGATTTTTTTCATCAAATACTGTAAATGTATTTTCTCTTTCTTATGATTTTCTTTTCTCTAGCTTACTTTACTATAAGAATACAGTATATAATACATACAACATAGAAAATATGTGTTAATCGACTATGTTATTGTTAGGGCTTCTGGTCAACTGTAGGCTATTAGTAGTTAAGTTTTTGAGGAGTCGAGTTTACGGGGACTTTTGAATGCATGGAGATTGGCACCCCTAAATCCCTGTGTTCAATGGTCAGCTGTATTTCAAGTGCCAGTGAAGGACACTTTTCATATAGGATTTTTATTTGTTTTTAAATAAAGAATTGGTTACAAGACGTGGTATATGTCTGTTTTGTCCTGTTACTAAACCATTACTTGGTTCAATGCAATAAACTTATTTTTAAATAATTATAGGGCTACATGGCACTTATGAAAGAAGATGGTGTTCCTGATGACATGAAGGGGAAAGACAAGATTGTGTTTGGCAACATCCATCAGATTTATGACTGGCACAGAGAGTACGTAAAATCCACATCACGCTTGGGGGTGTGCACACATCGTCACCTGTGTGCACACAGTGTCACCTGTCAGACTGTGGCATATCAGCAAGTGGGGATGGATAGTCATTGGGTCATTTCATTTCATTGCCTGTGTAGCTGTGGCGGTAGCTGGTGCAAAGAAAACATTGATGGGCCGAGGTGGTTTGTGCTAGCATTTCATGGCCTGAGGAAGAGTCTTACCTCCTTCATGCTGGTCCATCCAGGGGGCCCACATGCTGGTCCATCCAGGGGGTCCATCCAGGGGGTGCCGAGCCTGACCTTGAGCCCTGGGCTTCCCCTCTATGTCCCACCGTCTCCAGCGACACAATATGGGTCAGAGTGTGACCCCCATCATGGGATTTTTGTGAAGAGGGACTGAGTTAATATACGTGAAGCACTTAGAACATCCTCTGCATAGAGTAGGCCTCAGTAAATGTTTCTAAAGAATTGCAGCCACCTTTCAAATAAATACCAATTACTTTTAGAGGGTCTCAAAGATGCTCATTTTTCCTGCTCAGTTTTAATGAAAAAGTAGACATGATTGCCCATGAAAATCAAACTGGATCCCAGTATATTGACACACCCCTCCTAATGAGGAGGAGGTCCGTGTGGGGGCTGACACCACAGCAGCTGCCTCACCCTGCCAGAGCACATCTGCCCCTTCAGCTCACCTTGCTCCTAATTTTAAAAATCCTTAATCACCTGGGGATTGTTTCATGCCAATGGCTGATGCTGTTGTGGAATGTTCCAGCTATACTATTCTGTTCCGTTACGTGGACAGGCCTCCTGCCTTCCTGTCTATAAGTGCGTAGCCGCCCTTGAGCTTCGTGCACGCTGTCATCACCTTCTAAACCCAGTCAGATGCTCACTTCTCCCTGAGCGCTGCTCACTCCAGGCAGAGCACTCGCTCCTCCTTGCAGATGACACATGTGAAGGTGCTTTTCTAACTGGAACATACTCTGCAGGTATAAGGAGGGATTACCATGGAGTGGTGCTTTATTATTTCAATATTTATTTCTCCCAATGGAATGTAAAACTCCTGAACCCAGGTGGAGGGTCTTAATTTTTTTATCTCTTATAATATTTAATTCAGTTGGATTCAGATAAATAATTGATCAACTTTAGAAATAGCACTCTAACTATGGCTCTATAGATTGTAGACTTACTGAAAGTCTACAGTGAATTTAAAAAGGGATATTTGGTGCTGTTATCTAGACTTCTACTCCCAATGCTGGTTTTCAACTGTGACAGGGAAGAGAAAATAACACAGTGGTCCTGGCTGACCAGACAGAGAAGTTGGCACCCAGAGATTGTTTCTGTCACATCTGAGGAACTAGGGGATAACCCAGAGGTAGACAATCCAACACAATGGATTGATTTGCAGGTTAATAAAATAGCAAGTATAAATATCAACACATGTAAGCGATAATAAGGTGGGCCTACATCTTACAAAACAACTACAGCCCAGAAGATGAACACGTCCGCAGCTGTTTTGTTTCTATGATCATACACAGTTTTGATCTGAATGGAACTAGTATTTATAACCTAGAAGTTGATTTTGATAATATTTGAGAAAACTTCATAAAACTGTCACAGATTACATCCAGTATTTTATATGTTACTCAATTTGAGCCTCTTAAAAATTATAATAGAAGAATATGAAACTCAGAGGTACATGGACCAAGTGTTTGGAAATAAAAATTTCTTTGAAACATTTATTTTTCTCTCAGTATTCAGCCAAGATATAATTGCTTGTGTCCTTTACAAAAAAACAGGCAAGAGTGGTAATTGCCCAGAGGAAGGGAAAGCTGCCAGTTAAGGGAGGCTGTCATTCTGCTTTGTCTTTTTTAACTGTGTGTCTCTTTGCTTTCTGTCCTAACACAGGGTTTGCTGTGTACATTTCATCTGTTAAGTAAATACTTTACACTTCACAGCAGCTCATGTCCAAACAGACCGCTTTGAAAATATGAACCACAATCTAAAATTAGGCCAAATTGGAAATGGTTGTAATACTTCTCTTGTTTCAGCTTTTTTTTAGGAGAGTTGGAGAAGTGCCTTGAAGATCCAGAAAAGCTAGGATCCCTTTTTGTGAAACATGTAAGTATAATACTGTTGTTTATATGCTGCTCTGATATTGTCATGTTTAGTAATTGGTTTGTCAGACTAAAGGCAAACTTGCAGTTTACACGAGTGCTTATGTTAGGGATAAAGCAAACTGCTCGGTGTCAGAGTTGAAATCAAAGCTCTCACCCTGTGCTTTTCCTCGAGACACCCGTCACACGCAGCCAGAGTCTAGGAGGACCTCCACTGTGTCACAAGAATGTCAAAAAGATGCATATCCATGACTGAGTTTTCATAAAATGTATTTTTATTTCTTCTTAAGGACATTGTGAGGTGAAACTGGCTTTTTCTCTATTTTTATTGCAAATGTGGTGGTGACGAAGATTTGCTAAGATGCCCACAGTTTCACCCACCATTGGTTTTGCACATCAGTGCAAATGGTAGCACAGTGCAAAGGGCAAGGGCTTCTTCATATTATTTGGAAAATAATTTTAAAAGGGCTCAGGGACCCCAGGGGTGCACACGCCACACATGGAGGTTCACCAGATTGAGGATGGCTCACTGTCTGCTTTCCCGGCCTTCGTATTTGAGGCTAAAGAGCTTTTCCACCCTACTAAGAATAGCCAGGCGTCCTGGGACCGTCGGCAGGTTTGAAGGGGTGGGAGTAGCTCCTCCTCTAATGTTAAGAACTGTGTTCCTTCACTGCCTCCAGTGTTTGCCAGGTAGAGTGAGGGTTATATATCCGAGGGAGCAATAAAGGAGGTCTGGTTTTGGAGCCACGAAGGAGAGGGCTGATCTGTGTCATGAACCTGGAATGTGCTCCCAAGAGTCTAAACCACACAGTTTTGTTTTAAGAACATTTCCTTTCTGAATGTGCTGAAATGTGCATGTGCTCTTATATTCTGATGAACTTCCCATTGTTTTAACCTGTCTGTTTGCCCTTTTCATTCCTAGGAGAGAAGGTTGCACATGTACATAGTTTATTGTCAAAATAAACCAAAGTCTGAGCACATTGTCTCAGAATACATTGATACCTTTTTTGAGGTAAGATCTAAGATAAAGACAAGTCTTTCTGAATCTCTTGTTGTAGTTGCTTTTCAAAACTTTAAATATTAACTGTTACCCAGGAATATTCGGGAAATTAACCTCAATTTTCAGAGTTCTGAACCTGTGTTTCTTTCCTATAAATTAGAAAAGTATAAATTCAATCTGTGATCACATCCCTTAGCATTCAGAAGACTGGGGTCATTGTGAAAATAGGGGTTTTTTTTAAAATCCATTTTAAACCCAAGGCTCATTATAAATTCAGAATAATTCATGATCTAAATTTTTATTTTAAAACTGAAATATATGTTTGAGTAAAAGAAGGCAATTGAAAGCAAGTCTTTAAATAAGCATAAAAGACTGTTTGAAAAACAGCTCAGAAAGGTTAAAGTGTAAACTTCGGACATTCTAAGAAGTTAGTATATGCTGGTTGGTTTTTGTGCAGCATGGCCTCTTAGTGCTTTTACTCTGGTGTAGTTAGCATTTCTGACAAGCGCAAGGACTAAAAAATTGCCCTTTTTTAAAGGACAACACATCTTTTTTTCTCCTTTAAAACCACAGGACCTAAAGCAGCGCCTTGGCCATAGGTTGCAACTCACAGATTTGTTAATCAAACCGGTGCAGAGAATTATGAAGTACCAGCTGTTACTGAAGGTAAGGACTCGCCGGGTGCACATCTGGTTCCAGGAGTTTTGTGAGATAAGACGCAGTCCTGGGAGAAGGAAGGGTTTGGCAGGTGAGGAGTCTTTTCTGTAAAAAAATTGAAAGCAGTCTTATTATTTCTGATTTTAAATATTTCAGAATAGGTTTATTTATTTATTTATTTATTTAATAGGACACTTCACACTGTTTTCTCAATTTTTCATTTACATCAAGTTCTGAATCAAAATGTCAGTGAAAGTGACCTTTTTCCCCCCACAGCAGACCTTTGAATACTAACGATTTTTCTTCAGCTCTGTTGACCTTACATATTTTCTAATCCTGGAGCCTTGGGTAAAATTAAATTTTTAATCCCTGCCTGTTCCCTCCCTGTTGGCTCAGCAACAGCCCTTGATTGATTTAAATTCCTCAGCACAGCTAAAGGCATCGCCAGTTTTCCATGATAAAAGTGACATTTTAAATGTACTGAGATTTCTTTCACATATAAAAGTTAGAAACTGCCTCTAAAGAGAGAAAAGAGCTTGTTTTGAGCTGAAACAGGAACCCTCACCTGCTTAGATAGGGCTGGTCTGACTGCTTTTCTGCAGCTTGACATCTATGTGGGGTACCTTTTCCTTGTGTTACTGGGAGGGGAAAGAGAAAACAGCTAAAGTGTGAACCCAGTGCCTGGCAGTGATCAAAAGGTTCGCTGCTGCTGCGATCATCACCTGCTCATGTCCTCTCCCTTTCCCTTGCAGGACTTCCTCAAGTATTCCAAAAAAGCCAGCCTGGATACATCAGAACTAGAGGTACGACACCCTGTTGGCCCACCCAGGTCTCCCCCAGGCTGTCCCCACATGTCTTGAAGCAGCCTGTCCTGAAGGGGCCGGTCCCTGGGAGGGGCTGCTGCAGCGGGTGACAGTGGGTCTTGCCACCACCTGGCTGTTTCCTCTGCACACTGGTGGGCGGGAGGGGGGGAACTTGAACTTGGAGATGTGGTTGGGGATTGGCACAGCAGCTTTTCCCCGAAAGAAGTTGACACTGACTGCTTTGTCCCGCCCCCAGAGAGCCGTGGAAGTCATGTGCATAGTGCCAAAGCGGTGCAACGACATGATGAACGTCGGACGGCTGCAAGGATTCGATGTAATGCACTGTCCTTTAAACCTGCCCCTCTGGCTTCTGTCACCTTCCCCTCCATCAGATTACTTATCTACGTGTGTGGGAAGCGGATCCTTTCTGCTTGGTTTTCTGTCTTCTCTCACTTTACCTCAACCTGGTTGATATTTTTCTCTCAACCCCTTTTTGGAGCATTGGATTTGCTTTTTGGGGCCTTTCTCTGCTCAAAGCCCAGTGTCTCGTGGAGAAAACAGACAAGACCCTGCTTTGCTCCTGGGCCCTCTGCTGCCCATCAGTCATCCGGAGCTTGTCCTCAGGGTCCCTGTGTTCATCTTAGTCTAACTAACTCTTCCCTGAGTCACCAGACGACTCACATTACATATTACCTGTTAGTATCCTCAAGGTATTTCAGAACCAGCAACTTTTTAAAATCTGGCAGCTAAGTGAGGAGAGGGAAGCAGGTTATTACCTGCTGTTGTACTAGGGATTGGGGCTGAAGTTCTTTTGCTGTGGTTCTCAAAAAAGCACACGCAGAACCTCCTGGAGAGCTTCTGAAAACACGGATCCATGCATCTCTCCCTGGGTTCTGCCAGTGGATGCTGGCCCCGTGGGTGCAGGGACCGTGCCTGGAGAGCCACTCTTCCTGGGGGAACTGGACACTTGAGGTCCACAATCAGTGTAATTGTAACTGAAGCCAGTGGCTTATATGGAAGATGGCAAGAATTTCATCTTGATAACTGTTCTCTTTGAGGCTAAGAACTCATGCTAATAAGAGAAAATTTTAAGCTCTATAAATTAATAGAAATAGGTAGGATTTTGCGGGAGGGACTCTAGAGAAAACAGAACTTCCTGTATCTCAACTTAGAATGCAACGTTTGTTTCTCTCCCC